GAGTGAGTGAGTGAGTGAGTGAGTGGAGTGAGTGGAGTGAGTGAGTGGAGTGAGTGAGTGAGTGAGTGAGTGGAGTGAGTGGAGTGAGTGGAGTGGAACAGCACGAGGAAGACAGCCAGCGGCACCAGCGGCGACAACGCGCGCCGCAGCCCCTTCTGGAAGCTCTGGGTACTGCGCCTGCCACGAAGACAGCCAGCGGCACCAGCGGCGACAACCCACGCCGCAGCCCCTTCTGGCGGCTCTGGGTACTGCGCCTGCCACGAAAACAGCCAGCGGCACCAGCGGCGACAACGCGCGCCGCAGCCCCTTCTGGAAGCTCTGGGTGCTGCGCCTGCCACGAAGACAGCCAGCGGCACCAGCGGCGACAACGCGCGCCGCAGCCCCTTCTGCAGTCTCTGGACACTGCGGAGAGAGCCGGAGTGAGTGAGTGGAGTGAGTGAGTGACTGAGTGAGTGAGTGATTGAGTCTCTGGAGACTGCTGGGAGGATGACAGGCTCTGGGAGTGTGAGTGAGTGAGTGACTGAGTCTCTGGAGACTGCTGGGAGAGAGAGTGAGTGAGTGAGTGAGTGAGTGAGTGAGTGTGAGTGTGCAGTGAGTGAGCGAGTGATGAGTGGAGGAGGGGGCGAGGAGGACGGAGGGACAGAAGGACGGATGCGGGCGGGATGGCAGCCAACAAAACTAGAACCCCACACAGAGATGTGGGGAAAAGAAACAGGACAGGTGGTAAATGAGAGCCGCTAGGGAATTGCAAGAGAATTGGCAGATCTTCAAAGAACAGTCTTCAGGAGCGTGCTCTCGCGTTTTGCTCCGAATCCTGTACATGAAGCATGTGGCAAATCATCCACTGCTAGAGTTCCTGTACAAAGCATGAGGCGCGCGGGCCAAAGAGTTGCTACTTGTCACTAGCTTCCCAAGTGATTGGAAGCTCCCATGGGCTGATTGGAAGGTTCAACGAGAGAGGCTGACCATTGTTGATAGACCTCAGGCTCACCGGTGGAAACCGAAGAGCCAGGCTTCGAGCTGTCCTCGTCCTTGTCCTCTTCACCGGACTTCTCCGGCGCTCGGAAGCGGAAGGCCTCGTCCTGGGCAGGTGGCCTCCAACCTAAGAGCGATGGCCTCCTCCAACCTAATGGCGAAATAGCATGTAGACCCTGGTTGTTTCGAGCAAGGAATGCACAAGTAGGAATTGAGTCTGCAAAACCATCATCCAGCTTCATCATGCCTGGTTCGTTGCGTTTGTGCCTTCAATGCAGAACAAGCATCACAACGACTGAGAGAGAGGCAAAACCCGGTGACATCGACTGATACATTCCATGTGGCCGAATCGAGGCAACAAGGCAACACCCGGCTTCCTCGCACCCGATCCAACCTGTTTGCTGCCCAAGTGGCCCAATCCAACCAAAGCTGTTTGGGCCGAAGACCAAGCAATGTCACCCCTTCCACCTTACTTGCTATGGCCACAACTGTGAGGTTTCAAGGGAAAAAGCATGAGAACCAGACAGAGTCCAGAAGACTGGATGGTGCGATCTACCCTAATCATTCCAAGAGTGGATCTAATGAGATTAACATGGATGCTTGTACATCTGTCTTGAGCTACCCCATAAGACGAGGGATCGCCTCTTTAGGTCTTCGACGACCGCTTCGGCGTCTGTGTCGATCAGCCTGATCGGTCCAAGACGCCATGAGACGCTTCTGTGGCACCAAGGCCTCCAAACGGCGGCAGTCCACCTGACCCACCTGCGCCTTGCTCGCCTGAAGCTTGCCTTCCAGTCGGGGTGATGCAAAAGCGGTCAAACAGCAATCAGGTTTGGGCAGATTTGCACAAGCCTTAGATTGAAAACCGAAACTACGTTGAAGGTTGATAGCTTCCATCCTTTTGCCAGGTCACCCAGGGTCACGTGAGGCAGCCATTCATCATCAACCTCGCGGCCAATTGGGAACAGGACAGCCGTAGACCATGGGATGTATGCCGACACTCCAGTCAAATGAGGCAAGCAAACAAAGCGAGATCCGTCCAATGAGTCGCTTGTCTCAGCGATTTCAGATCTACCAGAAGAACAGCTACTAGTAGCTCCTGGCATTACTACTAGGAGCAAATCGCTGCTAGTAACAGGAAGCTACGAACGGAGCAAAGGGCATCGCTACTAGGAGCGATCGGACGCAACTAGGGGCTCCTGGCCTTACTACTAGGACCAAGAATGCTACTAAGAACAGGTCTTCCTTCTGCTGTCTTACCTGCTGTCCCTAAGTCCTACTGACACCCGCGATGGCAAACACTTGGTCTGTGCCTTCAAGGCCGCCTTCCGCTGCAAGCAGCTCCGCCAGAGCTGCCGCCGGAGCCGGACCAAACGCTTTGGCGCGAAGAACCGGGCGATGACGAGGTTCTGCTTGCCCGGTGGGAAAAGCCTTATCTCAAAAGTCCAAGAATTCGGGAGAGCAACAGGTGCCAATCTTTTGTCAGGTTGGAATTGGCTGGCCCGGCCAAAAGCTGGTGTTGATTAGACGAATTAGATGAATTAGCTCTTCCCGATGTAGAATTTCTCCATTCACTTTGGGGTCTGGAGTTTGATCAGGAGCGTCACGCAGCCACACGAAATGAGACTTTGCCTCCGAAGGCATGGCGAGCAGGTTCGGCTGTATGGCACTGAGTCATCAAACTACTAGGAGCAAGAAGCTATTAGGGGCTCCTGGCATCGCTACTAGGAGCAAGGACGCTACTAGGGGCTCCTGGCCTGACTACTAGGAGCAAGAATGCTACTAGGACCATTACGCAGGTGGCCTCTCTTTCGGAACTCGCTGCACTATGATGTCGTGGAAGAAAAGATATTGTCTCTGGCCTTTAATTTTTTGCACATCCAGCACCGCAACAGGTAGAATCAGCCAGGTAGCTCAAAGCGATTGAAAGGCAGTTCTTCAATCTCTGCTTCTTGAATCAAGGCGCCTGCCAAAAACAAACGAGACATTGAATCCTGAAATTACAAGGACTCAAACTAAAGTGTACTAAGGAACGATCTTCGATGGAGATCTTCTTCAGATTTACGGTGCATCATTTACCATATTCATCCAGCTCATCACTGAGACTGCAGCATTTGCCAAAGACCAAACCACCAAATAACTGAGTGTGTGACTGACCAACCAAGATCTGTAAAAACATGACGCGCCGTGTTCCAACGACGGTTGTGGGGCCTAGCTCTTGGTGAAGTTCTGCCTCGGGGACAGAGTGCAATCATGTGCAATCCCAGGGTGAAACAACGGTGAGCATGACAGCAAGCATGAGAAGAGTAGCTTTCATCAAAAAACATTTCAGGCTCATGTCAAGGAGGAACGTGGGAACGTGATGTCAACACAAAGTGCAATTCCCACACAATTCTCACACTGCTAATAGGCCTTTCGCCTTACACAAAGAACAGAACTTTTAAAAATTCTTCTTTTGAAGAACCATGGCTCTGCCAAGGCCACCTTCCCAAGGCGAAGCTCCTAAGCCAGGCCACCAGCTCTGCCTTGGGCAAGGCGTGCAGCAACTCTCCACAAAAGACGAAGGTGGCCTTGAAAGCGCTGGCGGTGGAGATGTTGAAAAGGCTTTTTTGAGCGGGGGGTGGTCAAACTTATTCCAAGCTAGAAGCAATGGCCTCCAACCGAATAGTGATGGTCTCCAACCTAAAAGCGAGATGGCTTCCCACCTACTTGCAATGGCATCCAACCTTCTAGCGATGCAGATGGTCAAACTGCCGGGGTCGCGGCGTGGAGCTTGTCCTCGACCGTAGCTTCAAAGCCGACCTTCGCACCTAGTAGCTCCTCACTGAGTGAACAACGATGGCTGCACATGTCCAAATCTTTAGTGAAATGGATGGCCCTACCTGGGTGGATGCTGCAGCTGAACATAAAGGAACTTGTTGTGAAACCGTCCAACACGAAGAATTTTCCTTCAAGGCAAGGTCCAACTCACTACACATGTTCCTCTCAGTATGGCCCTGCTCCAACTATAGGCCCCCCCAAACCCGGCTAGCATTGAGACCTGGATGTCAAATGACTTCAACTGGCCTCACAAGAAAGCCTTCTATAAGCAACAAAGAACCGCTCCGTTTGGCCCATCTCCTCGGGCTTCTCTTGGATCGCCCGGGCGATGGTGCCGAGTTCCGCCAGGCCATGGCCACTTGGAGCAAAGTCCAAGGCCAAAAAGGCAGTGCTGCAGCTCATCGCCGTGGGCAGGTGAGCGCGAGCGTGCCAAAAATGGCTGTGCTTCGAAAGGGAACCAGAAAACGAGAACTCCCTCCTAAGAATGGATTTGGTTCTTTAATGCCTGGTGCTAAAAGAAAACATGTGTAATTGGCTCCAAGAATTTGCTTGGTGTATCGTTCTTTACGCACTTCATCTTTTTCGAGCTTTGAGGACTCTTTGAGCCACTTCTCTGGTTGGATGAGGCAACCTGTCACAGGAGAGCCTTCGGCTAGGCATCAATCACCCACCACACAATGATTTTAGCAAAAAGAATCTAGAGAAGTGGCCCCTCCTTGGAAACCACAAGGACATATTCTCCATTCTTCCGGGAACCCTTAGATCTCTGGGCTCTTGAGTTAGCACAACCAAACTCTGCAAACCTTCCGGCTGCTTCCGGCCTTCCGTAAGGATCTGTCCATGGTGCAGATTGGAGGAGGCCTCGACTTCACGTCCGGCGCGGAGGCGATGTCCTCGTCGGTCGGGTCGGGTCGGTCGAAGACCCCGCCTTCGGGGACGTCGTCTAAGCTCTGCGGCGGCTCCGCACAGGCCCACCAGTTTGTGGCATCTTCCGTGCCTGAGACGTGCAGAGTGCGAAAGGCATTTGCAGACATCTAGTTTGCTACTAGCAGCTTTTGTTACTAGTAGTAAGGCCAGGAGCCCCTAGTAGCTTCTTGTTCCTAGTAGTGATGCCCTTTGCTACTAGTATAGTTATACTTCTTGATTGGCTCAGGTGGTGGGACTCACCACCCCAACATGTAGACTCGACTGGTTGAGCATCTTCCCTGGGCATTCGAGAAGCTAAATGCTACGGAGGAGCATAATTTCACACGTGACAAAGAATCATTACGGGAAGATTCCAACTTGGTCTGTGGAGGTTGCGGCAGGTTGAGGAAGGAGATGAGGGATCCGACGAAGAGTCTCAAGTGACCCTGCCGCTGATTCATTCAGACTGGAACCACAATCAGCTTGCATGGGACCAGGTTTTACAATAAACAAGAGGAAGGTGGTGGCGATCCCGAAATGCCCTAAAACCCTCTCTTAAGCAGTGTCCACCCCTGTCCATGGCGAACTTCTCCGGAACCTCAGATTGACCACCTCAAGATCTGCTTGAGGGCCCCTCTGGGGAACAAGCAAAGAAAAGCAAACTGGGGGCTCCCAGGATTCTTGCTATGGTGGTCTTCTTTCCCCTTTATTTTGTGCAAGAAAAATAGTTCAGTCGGATAGGCCCTTGAACTGCGTTGACAAGAACGTTCCATGTTTTCATCATCATTCTTTCCCCGGAGGTGAACATGCAAAGACAGTGTCCCGAGCCTGCCGTTGGGATGTCCTCTAAGGTCTCCCCGTGCTCATCCTGAGTGCAAGACGGAATGCTGCAAGCCTTGTGGTCAAAGTGCATAACTCACGAGTTGTTGGCATCCAAGTCCCCCCCTGGACTCAGTACCAATGAACAACAATTCGGAAACCTTGAACCCACCCGAGAACAAGCAACCTGCGCTCCAAAGACCTTCAAACCTGTCAATCAAGGAAACCAACCGATTTTTTCCGCTCGAGGAAGAGCAAGAACTACAGTAACCGTCAAAGGCCCGCCCCACCGACTGGATCACGGTAGCAGGCCATCCAAGGTTGAAGAAGTGGCACACAAAAAACTGCCCAAGTTTGGCCAAGAGTCCAAGCATGCGCAGCATCTGAAGACTGACTTCTCCTGCGCCCAGGTTGAATTGTCCACTTAGCCATCCAACTGGTGCGAGTAGGGGGCCCTTTTCTGCGAAGATTGGGCAAGCCGGGTAGGTCCTGCCAAAAAATTGCATAGTTGGGAAACCAATGCCCCAACTCAGAGGCCTAAAGGGCAGTGCACACCCTCTAATGTGAGTGGAAAAGGGTCCGTGACCAATGTTGTTTTAAGGAGTGATGCGGTGGGCTGGTTTGCCTTCGCTCCCGAGCTATTACCAAACCATTTGCTCCTTGTCAGATAGCCAGGTCCCCAGAACCCGCCGCTGTCGGCAGGTACTACCTCAGAGTTTGGAATCAGCATAGGTTCCGCATATCCACCAACTGCGTGTTCGAAAACGTTGATCTCTGGGATTAATTTTCCGATGCGGTAGGTGTTTGATAGCATGGGAAAACCCCTTTGCTAGGATCCAACGGCTTCCTGGTGCTTAAAGTTTCTTTCAGGCCGACTGGGTGCCCCAACAGTTGCCCCTCTGCAGTGCGGCCTGATCCATGTCCGAAAAGGCTTGAGCCCCAATGCTGCGCACGGTGGTCGCTGCACATTGGCGGGGAGGGACTTTTTCGAGGCCTACTGGCGAGTTCCATTCCAAGAGTTTTCGGGGATGACCTTTTCCAGTTCCTTCATGACCTGACCTGTTCCGTCAGTGTGGGGATGCTGCGCTAAAAGAAGAAGGGACCCTGATGGTTCCAAAGGCGGTGCACTTGATCCGAACAACGAGGACACATTTCAATACAACAGCCTTTCGGTCTTGAAGTTGTTCCAAAGGCGGTTGTGCACGGTGTGCTCCTTTGCCTTCCCCACCTACATGGCATGATTTTGGACCACGGACCGGATCACCTCGATGGTCACGGGATGGCCACTGCACCCACTTCTTTCCCACACTGGTCGTCGTGGCCTCTGGTCGTGTCATCGCACGGGTGGCGGGAGGTGGACATCGATGGACTGAGGCTCAAAAGGCCATTACTGTTTGGTTGGAGGCCATCGCTAGTAGTAACAAGTTCATCGCTACTATTACTAGTAGCAAGGACGCGACTAGTAGAGTTTCAAGAAGCTATTAGGTTGGAGGCCATCGCTATTAGGTTGGGGAGCTTATGTCAAAAGGCTCACAAGGCCTCTCTGTTGCTGGGAGAGCTTCAACACTGACGAACTCTTCCCGTCTCTCCACTCGTCGGAAACTCTTCACCTTCCAACGGGGAAGATATGTCTTTGAAGCCATCAGGGCAGCTCCTGATGCAATTTCCCACCTCTTATGTTGCAAGACCCTGCTGCATAGCGAAATAGGAGAGGTAACTACTGAAGCAAACCAATGCACCTGGCCTCTCCGAACCGCACGCAGGCTGACAAAAGATTCGATGGAACTGCACCAAAACATGTTTGCGTAACGAAGACCCTCAAGGCTACCGCACCATCACTTCCAGCCGGAAAGCTTTAAAGTTCCGATTCCCAGGCCTTCGCCCCGCGCACATCCTCTGCCTTGGTGAGATGCTGAACTTCTTATAGCCAGACGAATTGAAGCATGAGATATCCTGCGTCCATATGTAGCTTAAGTATAGCTAGGAGCCTACTCCCTTACTTAATTAAGGGCGGTCCCAAAAGAAAGAACATCAAAAAGTGCTTCGGGAAGCCCCATCTGAAACCATTCCTGTTTCGATGCACAGCTGGGTGCCCGAACAGCAGGTGTCCAGGGCTAAGCCCGAGGAATCGCGGCCTCACGAGAGTTGAGCATTCGCCGACAAGGACTATGTGAACGGAAAACATGCGCATGCCAGACACTTGCAAGTGGATGACTATCTTGGAAGCTCGAAGCCAAGCATACCACGTCCAAACTCCAAGTCCCAAAGCACAAAGGTTGGTCCTGTGGCCACCGGTAGGCTGCAGCCCATCTTGCACTTTCCAGGGCCCACCTGGAACCGACGTGCTCGCTAAAGTTACCCAGTCGGCGTGCGGAAAAAACGCTAAGGCAACCAATCAGCCCCTCACAAGGCTCAACCGTCGCTGGGTTGCTGCGATGACTTTTTGGGAAACAATTTCTGTCAAATCATCTTATCACTCGCACAGATCGCAATGCCCTCATGAGGTGTTGCAAGACTGGCTCTTTTAAACAAAAGGTGTATGTTAATACAACTGTCATCAGTTTTGGTGCTTCGGATCATCAAACACATGGGATTGGTCGAGTGAAATTATTCAATGGCCAAGACGAAGAAGGCTTTACCAGTGGCAATCCCAGGCACTTGCTCCGTCACCAACCCTTTTTCTTCTGCGCTCGGTTAAGGTGGCTTTTGGCAGAAGCAGGCAGGCCATTGAAGGCTGTGGCTACTGCAGAAGGAACAGTGACAACTCAACAACTCATACACATGTAAGATTCTAGGAGTAGAACTGGACATGTGTCTTTTTAGTGGTGCCGATCCTGATCGAAAACTGTTGGGCCATGTGTGCAAACTCGTGGGGAGGGTGGGGACTTTTGTGCAAACAGTCGTTTTCCTTGTTGGTTTCCCCATTAGCGTTCTACAAAGCGGCCGCTTGCATGCAGGAGACTACACCAATTGGACGTACCCTCTGGCGTGAAGAAGCATGGAAGTGCAACAGGGGATTTTACGTGTGGAGAACACTGTGCCGGATCTTCCTCATCGTCTGGGAGAAGTCTGCTTTCGAGTCGTGGGACAGTTGCAATCCAAATAGCATCTTGCTGGATAGAATTCAAATGGCGTGCCCAGTGCCAAGCAAGAACAACATTCCTACCAATCATGTGCACAGAACGGTCTACACATTTTGGGACAGGGCCTCCCCACCTGCCGACGACACGACGGGTGAAACCTGGTTCCTGGGTGGCAGTGCCGGGTAGTTTGACTGCTTCGGTCAACAAGAATCGGTTGGACCTCAATAAATGCTTCTCCATAGAACATGGTGGTCTTTAGAGGTTCACGTTTAAAACATTAGCCTTATGGTTTCCCAAGGCGGTGGAGAAAGCGCAGGCTTGGCCAAATGTTGGAGGTAGGAGTTGGAACCCTCCTGCCGTCAACTCAGCAACGTCAGTTTACGTCATACAGTTCCACACGCCAAAACGGACTGGAACCACCACCATCTGAGACAAGCTTCACCAAAGAGATCTTGGCTTGATGTCTTTCACCACACTGCCACCGTCAGGCTTTGTACAGGGAAGCCGCGAAGATCAATGTGTTGAGGAAGCTGTCTGGCAGCACTTACTAGTTACTAGAGGGCTTTATTGTTACTCGTCGCGATGGCCTCCAACCTACTTGCGATGGCCTCCACCTAATAGCGTCCTTGCTGCTAGTAGCTAAGGGGGGAACTCAGCTAGGATAACAGGCACAATGCTTCTTGAGTGTAAACCAGTCGATGCTCTACATGACTTGTCTCACAGGCGGCCGCCCCGCCATGCACACTTCCATGTTGTTCCTGTTTGATTGGTGATGTCTTTGGACGAAACAATTGTACACCTGCGGGCAGCCATCGTTCTAAGAGCATCCTTGCAGATCAAAGACCCCTGGGATTTGATAAACACTTGGTATCGCGTGGACTTGAAGACCCCAACAGGTTTGGTGAAAAGGGCCGTTCAAATGTCTAGAATCTTCAAGTCAAGAGTGCCTCGGGGAGTGCTGTGACCTCCAAGCCCATCGCCCTACCAGTTTACGATACAGCGTGACCGTCTGAATCAACATTCACCGTGGGTCAATGCCACCTTCCCTCAGTGTATTAGGTGAAGATTCCCAAACATGAGACCCATGTTCAATATAAAGAGATCTTCGCCTACCATGTTCTCTAGAGCCTTGATGAGCCTGGTTGCTTCTTCAACCTCACAAGATGCCACTGCATGAACGAATCAAGACGGTTGCTCAGTCACCAAAAGAACCATCTCGAAGCCCAAAGGTGGACGACGTCCCTCAGACCCGATCCACTTGGAGGCTTTGCTTGTTCGCAGCCATCATGGCATTGGAGCAAATCAGTTCCATGCCAGTCCTGCCAAACAGCCGTCTCCATTGCTCTTGGAATTGTTTCATGCCTCCCCTCTCAACAAGCCAACTAAAATCAAGCTGCATTTACCATGTGGCCACGGCATCGGCCCCCCCACAGTATCTGTGTCTCTTGCGCTTAACGATCGCGCCAAGAATCGCAATTTTTTTGCCAAAAACTCGGTCAGGGCTTTTCTCGAGAAGTGCATCGCTACTAGTAACAGGTGCCTTACTAGTAGTAACAGGTGCCTTACTAGTAGTAAC